AAACAATGGATAAAACATTAAATGTTTTTAATAAATTCCCCCTTTTAAAAGAATTATTTATCAAGTATAACACCGCAATCCTTTCATCTGCCCCTGTTGAGCGAGTTTTTAGTATAGCTAACGCTGTATTAACTGACAAGCGTTCATGCCTATCAGATGAAAATTTTGAAAAGCAATTATTATTAAAAATTAATAAGAAAATTTTTTTATAAATTTATTTTTTTATCGTTCTATTATATTGTATTTATAATTATATTATCAAAATAAAACTATTATTTTTTATCATGGCTAATATATTGTGTTGAAAAATATTAGGCATTTATTTATATCAAATTAAATTTAAAAAAAAATTTATCATAAAATTTTGAACGTATGAACGCGTTCATGAACTTGAACGCGTTCCTTTTTTTGAATTTGAACGTGAACGCGTTCGATTTTTGTCAATGAACGTTGAACGCGAACGCGTTCGATTTTTTTAAAAATGTTTACAGCACTACTCAGTAATATGATGCATAAAAATACGAGTGATAAAATTTTTCTATTTCTCTCGCTTATTTTTTTTTGAAAAGAAATATTAGCGTTATTGGCTTATTAACCATCATAAATCAAAAAAAAAAAAAGAAGAGCTTATGATAAAAAATAAAATAATTAATACTATGTGGTGGTGCCCAAATATTAGTGCGTGTTAAATTATCAAATAAATTGGACATAAGGCGAGGCCCATATATAAAACGGGGAAGAAGACAAAAAAAATAAATAATAATAAATAAAGAAAGAAAGAAACAACAGGCAATTTGTTTGGGAAATAAAATTGAAAATATTGTGAATAAAAAGTTGGAGTTGCGTGACTTTTATGATTTTAGAAATGTGATGAATCTAGCTAGCTATAAATTAAGAATTTGGAGGGAATTATAACTTTTGGGAGAGAAAAAGAAAAGGGGGTTGACAGTTTGGCAAAAAAAAATAAAAAATAAATATTATGTAATAATTCTGTCAAGGAACTACGAGAGTAAAAGAAAGTTATAAGATTTTGTTTTTTGAAAAGAAATAATTTTTTTTGTACCCTCTTTCTTACGATAAAAGAAGATCCTATATATTCGAAGAGAAATAAGATTTAAAATGAGTGGAGTTCATCAGTGTTTATATTGGGAAGAATTGACAATTCGTGTCAGTATCTATCAAGGAAGAGTGGACGAGGAAGGCCGAAGATTGCCCCCCTCAAGGCAGGAATCGATAGAACCCAGATCTACCAGGAATGAAATAATGGATAGAGGAAGGACCCTGAATCATCAAAATGTGAGCCCGGAATTGCCAGAGCCCAGGATGCCTAGGCGAAGACCCATTAGGCGGGCGAAAACGTGCTACTTATGTGGGAGCACGGGACATTTACGTGACCGATGCCCCCTAGGGCCGACGCATAATCAGACTGGATACAATCGAAGGGAAATGCCCGGGACTTCACGACGAAGTCGCAGTCGTGGTTCGATTCAGGGGGATATAGTGCCGATACGGAGGGTGTTATCACCCGAGGGGAAAGAGACGCAGTCGAATGGGAAGAAAGAGCAAGGGACCCGTACACCGGTTGCGGTAGTTCATCCCTTCCAGGAACCAGTAATGGGTCCGAATGCGGGAGAGGAGAGTGTCGACAGTTAGCCCCTGGTGGATTTATCGGCCATAGAATGGGAAGATCTATTAGGATTGGATGCCTTATAAGATTAAGGGGGATACTTTTGATTTTAAATAATGGGGGCGTGTTATATATTTCGTTTTTTTTAGTAACAGAAGTTATTATAATAATAGTTGAGTCATTGTTAATAAATATTATTTTTTATAGGATTACTAATGAATTATATTTTTTTTATCGATTCATTGTTATAAGGAGTATTATTATATTTTTCTAATTATTAATAAATATATATTTATTTTAACAATTTAAAAAAATTATATAAACCCAAAAAGGGGAAAAAATTATCATCATTATTATTTTTTTTTACAAATAATTTTTATTCTAAAATTATAATCGGTTTTTAACGTCTTATATTTTTATTTATAAACTATACGAAATATTCTAATAAAGGAAGTATAAAACCGCCTATATATATATAAGAAAGCAATACATTAATATAGTTAAATAATATTTACGAAAGAAGCATATGATAATTTCATAAATTTCAGGTATATTTTTATTATGTTTATATTTATAATATATATATATATATTCTAATTAAACACCAATTTATTATTTACCTTATATATTATAGTATATATGAATCAAATAAAGGTCACTACTGAATATTTTACTTGAAATATTTCTGCTCTTTATTAACATTTGCAATTTATTATTTAATAATGAATATCTTTTATAAGAATTCAATTTAATATTTTTTAATTACTAAAAGATTTAAAATGGTAGTATATTGCTGAGGAAGCAAAATTTCCTTTCATAAGTATGATATCTCAAATTAATTATTCTATTTTAAAAATTATTTATGGCAGATTTCCTATGAAAGATAAAATATTATTACAAAAGTGGACCCATGCTGTGAAGAGAGAGAACTTCAATGTAACAAAATATAGTAAATTATGTTCAAAGCCTTTTACACCAGATTCATTTATTCCATCTGTTACAAATCATGTTCAATTAAGAGAGGGAGCAATACCATCAATTTTTAATTTTCCAAAGCATCTTCTAAAAGTAACAAAATAATGAATAATAAATTATAACATGCAGGTTTCCTAGAAGCCAGATTAATTCAAAAATACATGAATATTTTTTTTTATAGAAATCAATTCTAGATTTCTTTTGTATTTTTATAATTTATGTCTTATGTCTTTTATGTTTTATTTTTGCTTATAATTATGTTATTCCTTAATAAATATAAACTATCCATTTCTAAATATATTTCTTTATTTAAATTTAATTCACTAAAGTATAAAAATCAATAATGTAAATATATATCATGAAAAATACAAATAATATATATTATGTTATATTTACATCAAATTAAATAATTGTATTATTATAATTAATATGTATCGCGAAAAGAAAATATTAATCTTATAAATCAATAATAAATACAAATAATATATATATGTTATATTTATGTCTAATAAAATTAATTTATTATAACCAATAAAGTCATTAGAAATTTTCAGATAATTTGTTCTTCACCTATAAATATTTAAGTTAAATAACATATTTTTATATTACTTGGTTTATTGCCCTTGAAAAAGTACAGCCTTGTTTAGTTTTTGCCTGATATTTAATTGTAATTTTTGATTTACTTTATTACCAAAATGATGCATTCTTATGTGCAATAAATTTTTATTAAAATCAAGTAAATATTATATATACCTTTTTATTATAAGTCTTATTATAATTTGATAATGACTTAACCCTGCCTCTTGATCAACATATGATCTTGCAGGTCACTAAGGATATTTGTGCCTAATATTTTTGACAATATTAGACATTCTATTTTTTTAACAGCATGTCTTTTGGTTATTTCATCTACTTTTTCAAAAGCCCCGAATGAGCTCTGTTATTTTGCATAAATTTGACACGCTTTGGGATGGTATTATCAATCCACCATAATTCTTAATTTTTATTAATGTATAATTATTGTCGTTTGCGGAATTATCAATTAGGGAATGTAAACAGATATCACATCTAACTTTCTTTTCTTCATATTCAGTAGTGACCTTTATTTGATTCATATATACTATAATATATAAGGTAAATAATAAATTGGTGTTAAATTAGAATATATATATTATAAATATAAACATAATAAAAATATACCTGAAATTTATGAAATTATCATATGGTTCTTTCGTAAAAGATACAAACATAAAATGGCCACCAGTCACTTCAATTTTTGCCACTTCAAATATATTAATCGGCAGTCTATAGTATTAATGTCATTGGTTTGAAGCGAGAGATTTAAAAAAATATTTAAAATTTAACTTTTACAGATTATATAGATTTTACTATTTAAGTATTTAATATTAAATTAATAACATATAAAGAAAAATTTATTAATTATAATATTATTTACCTATTTAATATAATTTATTTATAATTCAATATTATATATATATTTTAAAATATTATACAATATTAAAACATTTTTTTTATATATATGATTTATATTAATACAATTTATTTATTTTTCTTTATATCAAATTAATTTAAATTTAATATATTAATTACTTTAAATATTATATTAAAATTATATTATGTTAAATATTACAATTATATATTTATTAAAATTTATATTAATACCATTTATATTAAATTTGATTTTAATATTAATTATGTAATTATATTAAATATTTGATTAGGGTATTTACTAAAATTTATATTAATCATACAAATTTTAAGCTTAAGCAAAATTTAGCAAAAAGCAATGACATAAAGTCACGCGACAAAACATCAAAACACAAAAAAAAGTATATCATGCGGCACGATACCATTACTGCTAACTTTATCTAAACTAATGGTAATATTGAATATGTAAATGTTATTACAAAATAATTAATATACTAATAATTAAAACTGTAGAGATTGCTAAAAAAAATATCAAATAATATGTTATATTAAATGGATTTAAAATTATTTAAATAAATATTAACTATAATTATTATTTGTTGAAAATAGACCATGTGAATTATTATAAACGCTCTTCTGAAAATTTGGATATGGCACAATATAATACTGACCCACAAAATGTTATTACCTCACAATTTATCTAAAAATATATCAACCCTTGATATATTAAAAAATCAAATATCTGGCTCAATTTATTTTCCAAGACACATTATTAATTAATATTCTCTCAAAAATTCTACCAGCTGTGTTAATTTGTTGTTGATTATGCCTTCGAGATATTGTTTGAATATTTATAACTTATATTTTATTTTAAAGGTTATAAATTTGTTATTTTTTTTTATTATGTAACATTAAATGATTTTCATGTTAGTTTTATTGTATAGAAACTATCAACAATAAATAAATTTTACTTGAATCATTTTTTTATCATGTATAAAGATTAACCTGCAAAAAAAAATGTAAAATATAAACTCGATAAAAATTTGTAAAGAGGAGTCGAAACAAAAATGTAATATTTTATTTTTACGACATGCATTATTATTTTTAGGTTACGTTATAAATTTTTTGAATTAGAATAAATATAATTTTATATCTTTATTTATCTATTTGAAATAAAAAGTTAAAAACATTCATCCCATAATTTTATATTCCAGATAAAGTACTCAGGATAAAACCTTTATATCACGTGGTCAAGGCTATTCTCGATCTCGACAGAAATACGTATTAATTTCGTTTTTTTTATATAACCCCCTTTTAAATAATAAATAATCTACTTTTTTTATAAAATTTATTTTTTAATATATTTATATAAAATTTTAGGCTCCTACAGATTTTACACCTATTATTTATATTGTTATTTAGATTTTCCTTTTTACACATTTGAATTTCCTATTTTTTTAAAAAAATTTCATTAGGATTTATTTTTTTATTGCTAATTTGGATTTCATTTTGATTAAGAAGGGTGCTATATATCTAAAAGTACTGGCACTAGTTTATGGCTCGATTTGAACCGATTTTAAAGCGGCTAACTCAACATTATAGCTAGAAAAATATTGCCTAAGCGTCGAGATTTCCCCAATAGATGTTTAATCCTATGTGCCATCTATGAGAAAATCTTTAGGCTTACATAATACTTTTTTGGATAAAATATTGAGTTAGCCGTTTAAAAACCTCGGCTCAAATTGACCCGTTTAACAACCTTATTGGCACGACCTTAGATGATGCATCCAAATATTATGTTATTTACTTTTTTATTAAATGCAGTATCAGTTAAAGACCTATTTTTAAATTTTTTTTTGTTTCACACTATATATATTTAAAAAATATATGGAAATTTAATTTATTTTTTTTATATAATTCCTTTTTAAATAATAAGTAGGCAAATACTTTATTAAAAAATTTAATTTTTTAAAATTTGTAATGTACATATTTATATTTCGGATAAAAAAAATAACAGAAACATTATATCGTCGGTCTAGAATTGGAGTGCTCCATTTGCAAAATTTTTAAAACTGGGGAAAACGATTTTAAAGTTTAGATTCAAATATAGGAAAAATTTATAGATTAATAGAAATAAAAAAGAGAGATGTAATTTGTTATACTATTTCCAAATGATGGCCAAAATGTAAAAAAAATTATGAGAATTTTATTTGGTAAAATAAAAATGCAAGTTGAGCAAATTAAACACTTTATGAATTATATTTTTGTTCAAAATGGTCCATTTTAATCTTATTTATGAGAATTTATTAAATAAAAGTAAAATACGGAGATGACTACTATAAATTATCGTATTATATAATAAAAACATCTTAATTTGATTCTAATATATTCATAGAAATAATAATTCGCTTAATAAAAAATTATGCCAATATATGACTGATAATTATTCCCATATATATTTTATAGTTATTTTATGATTAAATTAAAAATAGCTGCACGACGAGTTATTTTAAAATATTATAATATAACTAGATGATAACCCGTCAAGAGTGACGGGTATCAAAATTTTCTTCGTTACTCAATGATTTTTTTTTGAAAAACCCTCAGATGACAAGTTCAAGAATTGCTATCATAATTATTTGAGGATTATTATAATAGATAATTTTTACAGATTTTTGATATCCCGCCAAGAATGACGGGTAATGAGAATTTTTGATGAATAATAAATTTCACCTTTATTTGATGATGAATGAATCAAAAATTTTCCTATCTTATGAGGTTCTATGAATATATTTTTTATGTTATAAATTACAAATACAGATGAATAAAAATATAGTTTAAAAGATTTTTTATTGTGCACATTAATTAAAATTACTAACCATATACTTCATAAACATATTTTATAAAAAATAATGGAAAATTTTAGAATAACCTCATCTAAATAAATATAAATTATCACATCTCATAAGATAGGAAAATTTCTGATTCATTCATCATCAAATAAAGGTAAAATTTATTATTCGTCCATTATTTATTAAAGTAGAAAATTCTTATTCCCCGTCTTTCTTGACGGGCTATCAGCTAGTAACATATTTTTCATAATGTGTTCTTAAAAATTCTTAAAATAGGCTTTATTTTTTTTGTTATTTATGCTAAAAAAATGGATTAATATTTCCTTCGTATATAACTTCAAATGGCTTTCTTTATTTCCTTGTGTCCAACAATTTCTTGAATCCAGCGATTAAATAAGGCATATCCATGGTTTGCCCATTCCTTTAAGTTCAAATAAAGTTAGATGGGAAATGAAATACTACAGTTATTGAAATTAGAGATCTTCACAGGCCTTGATTTATTCATCAGCTTCCAGCCCAGGTCAGCAGTAAAAAAAATTTGCAGACCCATTCTATATTTAATAAAAAAATTTAAACTCAAGCCCATCATAAGTTTTAAATATTTTGCCCGCCCATATCTAAAAATTTAATTTATTGCTTTAAATGAAAATAAACAAATTTAAGTGTATTTAGGCAATCACTTTGTTTGCAATTCTGAAATGAAGAGAAAAAATGCAATATATTTTTTAGTTAGTAACAGTTATAGGCTAAATTTAAATGAAATTTTTTTAGGCATTTAATCAAAAACCTAGTCCTGGCCCAGGCACATTAGTAAATATATTATTTATTCTAAAAAGTGGATTAATATATCCTCCATATATAACTTCACAATGGCTTTCTTTATTTCTTGTGTCCAACAATTTCTTAAATCCAGCAATTATCAGAAATTTTTCATCTATGTATATATTAATTTGCAATTGCTATCAGCTAAACCAAGCAATTGATTTAAAAGATCTATAATTGTAAAAAAGGGTTCCAGATTTTGCAGGACTTTTTATTTTTATGTTCTTACCATCTAATGAGTCAAGGCAGTTTGGAAATCCATGTTTCTCAAAATATTCTTGTGCAATCTAAAAATATATTAATATCTAAATTTAATACCTTTTCACAATATTATCATTTGGAACTGGCATATGAATATCTTTTAAAGTTTTCCATATAGCATCACATACCTCTGGAATGATGGTAGCAAAGCATTTTGCTTATTCTGCTACTATAGTAAAATTGAGAGTAATTAAGACCTGTTCTTAAGTATCTTAAAATGGTTTGCCTATTCTTTGGATATATTGAAATAAATAGTGTTTACTTTAGTGTTCAGCAACAAATAGTTTAAAAATATTATCTAAATAAAATTTGTTGAAAAAGAATATTTTATATTCGCCATATTATAAATCTTATCTTATCTTATCTTATCTAGCACGTTGGTCATGGACCTGCCCAAAATGAGCGAACGTGAATTACTATAGAGGCCCTATCCTCCATAATAATTATGCCGATTTTTTCCTCAAGGATACCAACAAACCTTGTAACCCAGATATAATTATTAAGAGGAGTGGAACTCACCCAATCCAATAATAATAATAGCGTAGGGAATAAGATTATGAGCATATTTAAAAGGAAAAAATAGTAGTACTGTATCATCCAATACAAATTATTAGTCATTAGTTAATTATCTAAAATTATTTTTTTATAGTTAGTCTTAATTTTTATTATGATTATTAAATTTTATTTAGTTTATTTACGATTTGTTCCCAATTATTTAGTTAGAAGATATAATTTTATTAAGTTAGAAGATATAATTTTATTAATTTTTATAATTATTTAGTTAAAAATATCTATCTATTTAATCTATTAGACCTAAATCTCATAATGTAATGTAATCTATTAGAATTTATCTTACAATGTGCACTAATTTAATCTGCCTTCATTTACTATAGCCCTATTCAAATAACTTCAACTCTTAGATATATATCAAAGCAATATATGAAATTGTATTTTTAAGTAATAAAATAAAATAACTTTACTTACTCAACTTTACTTGTTATATATCAAAGTAATATATGGAATTGTATTTTTAAATAATAAACTAAACTAAATTTAATTTAATCATCTTTACTTGTTACATTCTCAGCAGTTATTCGTCAAGTGTTCGTAAATAAGTCTTAATACGATTTTGTAAGTTTTTCTATCTAACGAAGCACGTTTTATGAATTCCCAAGATAGATCTATGTCCGATAATGATCGATTTATTCTACCAAACCAACTATTTTTGTAGGATAGGAAAGGTTTGAGAGATAATTCTTCCAAAGGGGTAATAAAAAGGGCTTAATATACTAGGTTGTTTGGGGCTTGTCTGAGAATGTGCCCTAATATTTCGATTTTCCTATATTCACATAGTCTATATATAGGGAGAATGTCACATCTGGACCAAAGATTATGATTCGAAGTATTATACGGGTAGAAAGTTTTGGTAATATATCTAAGACATTTGTTAATGAACGTTTGCATCTTTTTACTTTCTTGTTTGGTATCTTCAAGGGAATTACTAATGACTTAAAATTGCTATGATGATCATTGGACAAATAATTTTTAAAAGAAAACTAAAGTTAAATTTGATTGACGTTTTTTGAGGATTATTGTAATATAATAGATAGTGCATATATAGCAAAATTAACGAAAATATCTCAAAATTGGCATTGCTCTAACTTGGCCAAATTAATATTTTTAAAACTAGTTTTTCTTTAAATGCTTAATGAAAATTAGTCAATTAAATCCACTCCTAACTCAAAAATCTTAAAAATATCAAGTCTAACACTCCAATTCTAAAACATAGATATATAAAAAAACACGAATTGCATAATTATGGATGTATATAATAAAAAAAAGACGGTGTTAGGGCACCTAAGGTAATTGTTTTTAACTAATGTGATTTTTTAAAATTTGTTTTAATAAAATTCTAGATGACTTCCGAGCCTATATTATTTTTATCATCGTTTTATTTGCATTTCCTTTTATATATTGGAATTTCCTTCTTTTTTTTATATAAGGTTTAGAATTATATTTTCTTGTTGCTAATTTTGATATCCTTTGTAAAAATATTTAAAAGGCTACTAAATATGTTTTTACTCTGGATTGCTTAATCCCTTTTTAAATAATAAATAAATCTGGTACTACCATCTATGAGCAAATATCTTGGCCTACATAATATTATTTTGGTTAAAATCTTAATACTTCTGAGCAATATTCCTCTCTATTCGTACTTCATTTTTGATTATTTTGCCTAACTGATATGAATGATCAATGTATAGTATTACATTTATATAATTAAAATAAGATTCCATATCTATTCCCAAAAATCCTACCTAATATAAAACCTGCCACATAGGTTTATATATTTTATTCTGCTTATTACAAATTAATATGAAAAGGAATATTAAATATTTCCCATCTCTAATAATTTATAACTTTTCTTATTTTTCAAATTCATTTTAATTTGATATTCAGTTAAGTAATAAAAGAAGAATAGAAAAGAAATATAACATTAATATTTTTAAAGGCACAGGCCTAATATATATTTTATTGATGATGTTACCACTAGCCTGTAAGCCAATCAGCCAGAACTCAGTCCAAAGTGGTATTTGCACAGATATTAAAGTTAGACCTGTCAATCAATAAAATTGTCAAACCGATAGGTTCGTGTCAATAGGATCAGAAATCTACAAATATCGGACGGTCTGAAAGCCCAGCCCGCAGGGTGGGCCGCACAAGCTATTTTAACGGGCTGGTGCAGAAAATTCGTATACAAAAAAACGAAGGCTCAGATAAAAATTCGAATTGTAGAAAGTAGGGGATTTTGGACATTTTGCAAGATGCTTATATTATGATTAATATGTTAGTGTCACAATGTATGGCATCAATATGCCTGCCTCAAATTAATCCTAACCTAAATCGAACTGAATCATTATATTTATATTAACCGTTATTATTCACAGTACTTAGATCAAACATAAATTATCAAAGATCTTGTTACCCTAATCTAAACTCAATCTCAAAATAAATTTGGGAACCGATTAGAACCTTTTTATATATTGCTGTTTGGTAGTCGATTTTAAATACTACTTAACGGTTTCAGCTAACCAAGCTAACATATAGAATGTTCTTGTAAAAGTTATTAATTTCTTATAGATAGATATAGTTTGATAAAAGAACATCTTGAAATGTATTAATTCTGTATGGCTCATTAATGCGATCTCCTATCAAAATAGTAAATTACAT